GTTGAAAATGCTTTTTTTTTCTTTGATGAATCGAAAGTTCAGAAGAACAGCATTCATTTGAAACACAAATCTTTTGTGACATTATAAATGTCTTTACTGTCACGTGATCAATTGAACTCATCCTTGCTGAGTAAAAGTGTTGCAATCACGTGTCAATCTCTCATTTTCTCAGAGAGTTGCAACAGTATGGACAGTTGATGGCAGCCCTGGAACAGACGGCTTCTTATTACAAAAAATATGCGAAGTCCAACAGAGAAAAACACGATTACAGCATTGCCCTCCTCCACAACGACACACAAGAGTGCAAACGCGAAAGAGATCCAGAGCCTCGCTTTCAGGAGTCCGGAGGCAGCGGAGACCCCTGACGCTGATCTCCATAGGGACCCGCTTCCATAACCACGGATCTGATCTCTTTCCCATCGGGTTCCCCGTGTTTCCACATTATAACCCTTACATTAGGCCTGAAGACAAGATGCCGCCCATCAGGCTCGAGCGCCGGGGTGGGTGACCAGGGTTCGGCCGGGTGTTTAAACTCACACTCAATGTTTTTTCTCTCGCTCTCAATCCTCCTGCGGCAAAGGGACACAACACTTTTTTAAAAAAGAAATCCTAGTCCTAGCAATTCTCTTTTGTTCCTTTAGCAGTTGATCAGCTTGGGCTTTTAGTGTTAATGATGGAGTGCTGTAGTTTTTTTTTTTTTTTTTATCTTTCAGAACACAAATGCATTTGTTTCCACCGGGCCCACGTCACGCATCAGCAGGGGTCAGAGGTCACGTTCTGATCTCTGAGAGTTTGAGCGTTGGACTCAAATTTTGCTTCGGCCTCCCTCCTGTAGCACAGCCGTGTGTGTGTGTGTGTGTGTGTTAGTGTGTGTTCAAATGTGCCTGAAGTTGGTGTACGTTCGCATGTGGCACTGTTTTCACATCAGCGTGAGTGTGTCCCCTGTTTAGCTGTATTAATCATTTTAACAGAATCTGACCGAAGCCCCAGAGACCTTCATCTGTGGAACAAAAACTTGAGAACCATTTTGTATCTTTTTTTTTTTTTTTTAAAGAAACCTATTAGCGAAGTTCCTTGTTTTCACCACTTACCTTAGAGGTGGCGTTCAGGAGAGAGACTTTGTCATATTAGTTTGAAAAATTGATCGGAAACGTGACTTTGAGAGCGAAATGCACGTTCTCCTTACACAGAGCGTGCGTGAAAACGTGCCGACAGCTTTAAACAGAAAAGATACTGTGACACTCAAACTGTCAATCAGATATTCGGCTCCTGATGAGGAGTTTGTGGCGTTTAAATGACCTATGCAGCAACATTTGAGCTGAGACCCCAGATATAATGTTTCTTGCAGCAGCCATACCAGCATTAAAATAAACCGTCTCCGACCGCACTACATATCCACAACCATTTCATCTCTGCCTGTACGTTAGTTCAGTTAAATCCACACGGTCAAGTTCCCTGATCTGAGCTGTTTACACCAAATATCAAGCATTTGAGTCCCCCTTTTTGGAGAGAAATAAATATTTGCTATGGACTGATATTAAATGTTTGAAAAGAAATGCTTTTCTGCCTGTTTTTATGGAAGTTTTTGTTACTTTTTTTGGTTTACAATATTTTTTTTATTTTTTTTGGTTGACTTTATCTCTGTATCATTATATTAAACTATAACCAGATAATTTGTCTCCTCTTTTTTAAAATCTTTTATTTAAGCATTATTAGCATTCTTTTTTTATTTTAAACATATATATTATTACATTAACCATCATTTTATTAACATCCACATATGCTTTCCGCAGTCATAAGATGGTGCTAAACGCCCCGGCCTTTGCCTCGCAGGTGGAAGTTTAAATGGATATCCAGATTATTTCACAATCTTTTCTAAACTTGCATCAAACACTTTATTAAACATTTTTAAGGGTTTACCCTCGCCAACTTTATGAATCTTAACAGCTGGGCGCTAAAGCGCTACGTGAAATTCGTTATAAAAGCAATTGTTTGAGAGCAATTCATGATCAATTCTATTGTTCCAATGACTATTTTAGTTATTAAAGATTTGTAAAAATTGATTTTGATATAGAAAGGCTTCAGTGAAATCTCTGCATTGCTCAGCAACATCTGCCTGTTTTGGTTTTCATTGAATTTTGCCTGTTTACTTGAGGACCATTTTGTGCCATTAGCAAATAAACATGAATAAAATCTCAACAATAATTGGTTGCTGCTTGGACCAGGCTGATGCTTGTGCACTGTGACACGTCTTTGCTGTTGATTTAGCTGATCTGAGAGCAGTTTGTCACTTTCTTTGGCTATTCCTCATTGTTTTAAAGAACTAAAAACAAGCCTGCTCATTACAGCAGTAGACATACTATTAATGCATTTGATGATGATGATGATGGGGGTAGTATTGTTACTCTACTAACCATATGCAAGAGGGTCTCTTTTTTCCAGCCAACTGCAGGTGTGTTGCTCTCATGTTTGTGAATCAGATGTGTGAGAGGTTTTCGTCATGATAACTGCTCCTGTCCGAAGGGCATCCCATTTGCATTAAATGTGTTATTTCAAAAGTGATTGTACTGTTTTGTATTGTTGTGTAGGAAATGTTATGTATGCATATTTTCAATAAAGCATTCAGGGTTTTGAAACATAATGAGGCATTTCACATTGAACTGCATGGGGTCACAAGACCACTGTTAAAAATGTTTAGTTTTTTTTTGTTGTTTAGTGACCAATTCTTGAACCTTTACAGAATATTTGGTTACCTTGGTTACAACAAGAATAATCCTCTATGAAACGTACTGTGGTGGTACCATCAGGCGCGTCGTTAGACATGCCCCGGATGTTTTTTTTATAGCCCCGGATCTCAAAAAATTTAATTTATTGAAAATTATTATTTTTTAATAATTTTGTATTTATTTAAAAAAAATTGACCGGGTCTTTTAATCTATTCTTCGGAGTCACGTATTAAAGACGATTAAAATGTGTTCAAGCAGATCAAAGTTACTAATGGTTATAGCATGCTTGCATTTAGAGTGCGCACCAGAGGAGAGAGAGAGAGCCTGAAAGAGCCATCGGTTAACTTACAGCTTTAGGGGTTGACTGTCATTGTTGTTTGTGGCTTCTGGTGGTAGCTATTATGGACATTAGACACTTTTTAAAAAGGAAAATAAGGAGTCATGAACGATACGAGGCGGATGAGAGGCAAGAAGAGTTACTGGCGCCAGGGTGACGAGAAGTCCCGAAAAATTCGGGACAGTCCCGAAATCTAAGCTGTTGTCCCGAATCCCGAAACCGGCCTTAATTGTCCCGAAAATTATACTAAAGCAAAATCTTGATATAAAACATTAAAAACTGTCCGTGGAAGTTGAGTCGTCCTGCAGCCAGCCCCCTCAAGTTGCAGCGGCCGCAGCCGCGAGGACAGTGAATGTGCAGGCAGCCAGTCTAAACTTTTGTTTTTTTACGCGCGTCAATCGTAATTAAATCGCTGTTTTGCGGCCGTTTTTTTAAATGAAACATACACTGAACGTGGAGAATTAACAACTTTTTATTGTTAACTGCTGCGCATGTGATTTAGTCAGCTTGATTAACATTATTACAATATATTCCTATTTAACACAGATGTTTTTTGCTAATTACAGAAACTATAAGCTCAATTCATAAGTATAAATATATATTTATAAAATGTATAAGTATATATATTTGTATGGTCCTCGAATGTGTTCGAATATTTCAACAGTATCAGCCTTTTCACTGTTTGTATCACTCCGCTTGTCTGTGTTTGCCCAACTTGCATCATTAAGCCAGTAGGTGGCGACAAGTGACTGTCTTTATGAGTGAACAATTGAACTGATTAGTGCCAAAAACATTGATTAACTTAAGAAAGAAACCAAGTTGCTGAAACCAATCTTTAATGCTAATATATAAATTGCTTATTTGCCTCTGGACGCAATCTTTTTGTGTCCAGAGGCAAATGAGCAATTTAGCATTAAAGATTGTGTATTCTCAACAATAAGCAGAAACCTTCTGCATTTTCCAAGTGTGGATCATTCATTTCAACATTTATCCTCATTCTCATATTTAAGAATCTGTTATCTGCTTGACAAATAATTTATGCTACTGCCCACTGACATGCTTTTAAAGCTATTGTTATCCAATTTTTATGACCTTCAAACACCTTAAAATGCACACATTTAGGTCTGAGAAATCCAAATTTTCCGAGTTTTGGTTCCTTGCCACTGTCACCTTTTTTCACCTTTGTTGCTTTTGGCTTTCTTAGTTTGGGAGATTAAATTTAATAGTCAACAATATTGTTGATCTGCCTGCATTGACACCACCATTATATGAGAACTGAACTGGACGATGACATCACGGTTTTCTCCAGAGCGGCTATATATAAATGAACTAAATTAATAACTTTTTTACAACAAAAATGAACCATCACTGAACTTACTTAAGCTGGACTGTAAAGCTATTTTCTTCTGGAAACAAACTTTGTTGCATTATATTCCTGTTATCACTGTATAGCTGCTTTGAAACAATCTGTATTGTAAAAAGCGCTATATAAATAATTGTGACTTGACTATTTTAAATTATTATAAAAAATGTATATTATTCTACTAATAATTAAATAAGGAGATTTGCACGCAAAACAAAATTACGCGTGTTTGCGTGGCAGCGTCGCCCCGCCCCTCGGAGGATTTGGATGGATTTGGATTTACTGTGGTGGCAGTGGTAATACCATTCATATACAATGGTATTTATACCATTACATACATACATTACATACATACTATAATGTAGACTATTTCAAAGAATACTACTTTTACATTATCACCATTAAAAATATAAATTTACTAGTTATTTTATCTTTTTTATTTAATTAGTTTCTACGTTGGTATATTTTCAACTTATTATAATTTTTTTTATAGTATTCTCAAATAATTAAATAAAAAGGAGATTTCCACAAAAAAAAAAACCTGCTTTGATTACGCGTGTTTGCGTGGCAGCGTCGCCCCGCCCCCTCGCGCGCGTTCTCTGTCCCAGTTGTTCTCCACAGTTATGGCGGCCCCAGTCGCTCCGCTCGATGAAGACTGGGAGGATTTTAACGAATTCAAAGCGGCCGATTCGAGCACCAGCTGGACCGCGGAACCGGAGAATTCCCCGCAGATCCAAAGCTTCGCATCATTCGACGAGACGCTGAGCGCGAGCTTCCCTCACTCCAGCAGCGCGTTCACGAGCGTCTCTGTGCGCGCCGTGAGCGAGCACGAGCTGCTGCGCGACGACGAGTGAGTGACAACAACATGCTCAAAATAAGATTATTACGTGAAATATCATGTAATATATAATTATATTGTAATGAAGTTTATATAAATATACACGCTGCCGTTTTAATTACTTAACTCCATGTTGTGGAGAATTTAGTTGGTTTCACAAATTTGTGGCTGTGATTCTTTATTTACACTAACATAATGTAACGTTAACGTTTTTATTTTTTGGACATTTTCCATGATATTCTTGGAAATACATTTAAATACCATTTTTGTTCCAGTATTTTGTAAAGGTCGTATCAGTGTCACTTACTTAAATAAAATTGAAATCTTTAATTATTTTTATAAAGTAAACATTAACAATATAAAAGTTTCTTATGTTCTAAGATGAACACTTAATGGACTGAAGCAACCTATGTTTACTTGATTATCCATACATCATTTTTATTTTAGAAAAATTATGTTAAAATGTGAGCATCAAATATGAAACATCAGGCTTTTTAGGAACAGTTTTTTTCTTGTTCATCTCTCAATTGTATTGCATTGCATTATATGCATTATATTTTGTCTAAATGTTCAATAAACTAATTTCATTATATATTTCTGACTATTATTTCATGTTAGGCTTTACAGAGTTAAATTTTAGAAAGCAATAACGTGCATATATGAACCTTATTAGAGGTTATAGATACTGTCTGTCTTATTTATTCTTGTGTTTTCTTGTTATTTCACAGGATATGGAATGCTCTGACGGAGAACTACGGCAACGTGATGCCAGTGGACTGGAAAACCTCTCACACTCGTTCACTACACCTGCCCACACTAAACCTCCGACCTCAGGAGGTGAGATCTGTCCATCCATTCATCTTTCCCTTCAGTCCGTGCAGACTGAGATCACAGTGTTTTTGTGTGTGTGTGTGCGTGTGTGTTTCAGACGGTGGAGGTCCGTAATCTTGACGTGTCTGATGACGAGGAGCTCAGGGATCAGATGGACATGCACACGATCATCATCTCCTGTGTGAATGAGGAGCCGCTGTTTACTGCAGAACAGGTATTCACACTCAACCCGAGAGTATATTAATGAGGGCCAGTCATAGGGTGCTGCACGATTAATCGGTAAAAGATCATGATACGATTCAAACACCCATGCAATCTTATTCCTAAATGACAACGATTTTGCGATGTTTCTCATTGCAAGCGTCAGCAGAGCGTGAACGCCGCATATTGCGCATATAAAGCGCTATATAAATATGACTATAATGTGACTTGTCTTGACTCTTGACAGATGTGGTCAAACCTATACATTAATCACCATAACCTGTGTGTGTTTACCAGGTGATAGAGGAGATTGAAGAGATCATGCAGGAGTCTCCAGATGACGAAGAACATGAGAGTCCATCTCAGTTTGACCTCTCCATGATGTCGCATGAGTTACACACACTCACACACTCTACATCCAGCAGCAGCTGCGGGGAACGTAAGGACTGCATGTCTTTATTCACAACTCTTTTTTTTTTTGTCAGCCGAAACCGGTGAAGTTTAAATTTTGAACTTTTCACCTGAGATTTTAAGTTAATATTTAAATAATTTAACACGGTATTCGCATGTTCATGTTTCTCTGCAGGGAAACAAATCAAATATTAGTAGTGTTTATTTTTATTTTTTATTATTTGTTTTAATGTGAACTTTTTATGATTTAATTAACAATTCAATTTTCATCAACGTACAAGTTCTAGTTTTGGAAACCTTGCATCAGATAATTAAGGTGTGCAATTATTGTATGTATTAATGATGCACCAAAATTTGGGCCCCTGAAATTTTTTGTCCGAAACAGCAATTGTGATGTTATTTAAAGACTAAATAACATCAGAAGGTATGCTGAAAGATACAGTACAACTCACTGAAATGAATCCTGTATCTTGTAATCACTCAGTCGGTGTTTCAACCGTGGAAAGATGTCAATAAAACAGCTTGAGAACAATGTCACATAATGTCCCATTTACCTCATATAAGCCATTCATTGACTAGCTTTGATAGTTAGCTAGTAAAATGATCTCTAGAGAGGAGAGTTTTGATAAATATATACACTATATTACATATTCATTATATTTTTACTTAACCTGTTCCTAGAGATGACTCTTCATTATTTAATGAATGTTTGAATAAATCTGTCATGAAAGAAAGTTATTACAGTTTGAGTTTATTATCATTTAAATGTTTGTTTCACCAACAAATTGGATTAAAAACATAATTCTATTATTAAAACATTGATATAAAAACTGATTATGTGCAATTTAAATGTTTGTACAACTATTTATTTTCGTCCCAGAATTTTCATTTCGGTGCATCACTAGTATGTGTAAAAACACTCAAATATAATGTAATGATATAGAAAACTAAAAACACTGTTCTTAATGTGTTTTTTTATTTATTCCTGACAGTTAAGTAATTAAATGAATATACTAATATTTACATAATTGTTTAACTTGGCGTACTGTACATTAGCATAGTACTTTGTGTGGCAGTGTGTAGAAATGAGAAATTTCCCTGGTATATTCTAGTTTATTTTGCTAATGGAAACTGTTCAAGTACCTTTTGAGCTCTGTAATGTTGTAAGATGTTCACACATATCTTCTATATCTCAGACAGAGCTGGAGTGTTGAAATGAGGGTGTTATGAAATAATGGGGAGATAAGCTTGTGTCTGTTTTTTGAGTGACTGAAACGGTTGTTTCTTCTGTATTTCAGGGTTGCGTGGTCTGTGTGTGTCGGAGCTGCTGGAGCGTCTCGAGGAGGTGGAGCGTCAGATCCGGGGTTTCTCAGAGGAGCTCATCGATCAGCTGGCGGTCAGGGAGGAGCAGGACTATGAGAAGGAGGTGAAGAACACGTTCATCTCGGCTCTCATTGACGTGCAGAACCGACAGAAAGAGCATCGAGAGCTGCTGAAGAAGAAGAGGAAGATAAAGCCCACAGGAGGAGTGCAGAGATCCGACCGCTCGTATGTGCCAGGAACCGTAAGGATGATAATTACTAACTGCTCATCAGCAAACCCACACCAAATCCACAGAAATCTCCACAGAGCTCTACAGAACCCCACGCCTGTCAATGTTTTAATACTACTTCAGCTTCCTTTAACACATTTTACCTTGTTTAAATGTATTCAGGCCCAATTCCACCTTCAAACCTATTATAAACATTTACATCCGTAAGAAATGGCAATGTCAAGTTTATTTCTATAGCACAGTCTTAGAGTTGACCAAAGTGCTTTACACTACTAAAAATTATAACACCATTCACACAAAGAACAAACAAAAACAATAAAAGAGATTCTGTTAATCTCCACAATACATTAAAAGCCAAAGAGAGATTAGTTTTTGCTTAGATTTAATATCGGAGAGTGTTTGAGCAGTTGTAATACCGGGTGGAAGGCTATTCCACAGTTTGGGGGAAAGGAAATGGCAAGCTTAATGGGATCGGTGTATAACGAACAAACTTTACAAAATCAATCCTGTGGTTGTAAAACGTTGTGTCCATTTTGTAAATGGCTGGGATCATATTGCCTACGCATGCTGTCGTATAGGGCACTCCAGACTAACTCCAGTTTCTGTTACCGGGTGAAGATTGTCCTTTATGCCCCTCCTGCCAGAATCCATTATTACTGAAGCATGTTTTGATGGACTGGGATAGACTGAACTCTGTCAGAATTCATAGAATTTTTAGTTGACTCTTATGAATGAAGTAAGACCAGATCTAGTTTTAGAATTTTTTATCAAACTTAAAATAAAATAAAAACAATTTTAATGTTTATTTTTTATTTTTTATCTCTTTCTCACGATGAATATAGCCAGGGTAGCTGGCATGGTGTTAAACTATAAACAACAAACAAACAAATGTATTCAGGGGAAATCCACTGAACAAATCTATTTCTCCAAGAATTATTTCTATTATTTTATTTTTTACTTTCATTGTTGAAAAATCAGTTTAATTGTCTATCTATTAAAATGGACTTTGTTGTTTTAGATTTTTGACCTTTTTTTTTTGTTCTTTGTGTCAGTATTTGACGACGGTGATCCCGTATGACAGGAGCAGCGGAGCACCGTCTGTAGAAGACCTGCAGATCCTGACCAAGAGTGAGTCAAAGTGAATGCGTGTGCAGTTTAAACATATTACGTATTACTCTAATTTAATCTAATTACATCAAGTGGTGGTTAATTAATCGCAAATTAGTCACACATCAAATTTGGTTGGGAAATTACCCCCAAAAGATAAAGTCATTATTGTGTTCAACAGGGTTGGGGAGTAACGGAATACATGTAACGGCGTTATGTAATCAGGATACAAAAATCCAGTAACTGTAATTCGTTACAGTTACGTCAAAAAACGTAGTAATTATAGTTACTTTTTGAAAAAAGGGGGGATACTTTCAGGATTACAATGGTTTCATTTAAAACTAAATAAATCTGTATGTTGGCATAATAACACTATATTAAGCGTTGCTTGATTAATGACTCACGACACGAGTCACGTGTGTCACCCGCTGGTGCATGCGCAAAATAACAGCGCTTTACAACAATCTCCTCAGACACAGATTGAATCACTGCTGCTAGAAACGATGCTGCCCATGGGTAAAAATGCTTTCATTTCTTGGAAATTCCGCTGCTATTTTGTTGTGTTTTAAAGAAGAAAATGCCAACAACATGGTTGTACAGTGCAAACTGTGCCTTCCAGCAACGAAAACACTTTCTTTATCGAAGGACTCGACATCCAACCTAAAGAAGCATTTGCATTCTCTATTTTCCTGTTGAAGAAACATTTCCATTGTCTAAAAATTCTTTATTATATTTGCTTGAAAAAAATGAATGTGTATTCTCTATTTTCCTGTTGAAGAAACATTTCCATTGTCTAAAAATTGTTTTTTTTTATATTTGCTTTAAAAAAATGAATTTTTATTCTCTATTTTCCTGTTGACAAAACACTTCCATTTTATTTTTTCCTTGTACATGTCAAGTTAAAAATAAAACAAAATAATCTGTAATACCATACTGTAGCCACTAGATGTCTGTATAGTCCTTTACATAAATATTTATTCAGGGCTGTGAAATTCTTAATAAATAAAAGTTGTTGTTTTTTAAAATAATATCTGTCCTTGAAGTAATCCAAAAGTAATCAGTTACATTACTTTCATATTGTGGTACTTGGATTACGTTACTGAATACTTTTTTTATGAAGTAATTTGTAACTGTAACGGAATACATTTTTAAAGTAACCCTCCCAAGCCTGGTGTTCAATTAGAAAACCATCAAATAGACATTACAAAAAGTAGCTTTAGAAATAAATATTATATTTGATTAAACATAGAATTTATTACACATAAACTTTTAGGCTTCAACGGCCATGAGGGTGAGTAAATGATTTTTGGGTGAACTATACCTTTAATGTGTTTTTTTAAATATGGAAATAAGAAATATTCCATTGAATCAGTGGTTCACCCGATTGATTCGCTCAAAACAGATTCATTCAGAAATGAAGCACCGCTGTGTGCAGTTCTTCTCTGGCTTTTAGGTAATATTTTCATTGGCAAAATTGAGCAAAAGCAGACAATATTGCGTCTAAAATATAACAAGATTCATTTCTTATTTATTGAACTTTTGTATAAAATCAGTATCACATTTGCACTCGTGCTATTCGGGATAAAAACAGCACTCATGTGATATTTTACTCGTTGCTCGTGTGATATTGCTTAACTATATCATGATATAAATATGAGGTGACTCATACTGGGGCATTTTTGCCCTGATATCTTGAATTTTAGGCTATTTTTCTATTGGCTCCATCACTCAGTGTGTTGTTGCCCTGCTTCATGTTCGTCACCAATCAACTTTATGAAATGTAATATGAACTACGTAAGTCTTGGGCAGGCATGTGCGTTAAATGCATTAATATTAATGCGTTTATTTTTCCCTTAACATGTTAAATCGACATCCCTAATGTATGTGTGTGTGTGTAATGTATATTTGATTGTAATATTTAATGCATTGCTATAAAAATATTTTATGGTTTGATAATAATTCCAGATTTATAGAGGGTCTATGTGTGTGTTTTTGTACATGTTCCTCTGCAGTTCTTCATGCCATGCGCGAGGACAGTGCCACAGTTCCTGCTCTTCTGACCGACTACATCCTCAAAGGTATCAGAGACACCCGAAACACTCATCCATCTCCATCACTGTCAGTCTGAACCTCATTGATCTTGTGTGTGTTTTATGTTTTATTTTTGCTCTCGCTGCATTTGACCTTTAGCACTGGTGTGAGAGATCAGGAGACAGAGGTGTGTTGATTTCATATAACACTAACGGAGTAAAATTACAACAACAAAAAAACATTAAAATTGTATTTATAATTAGTTATTCCAAATAAGGACATCCACAAAGGGAGAATTGGTCTGATTTACCTCACTTCTGTGGATAAGTTTTTCTCCAAACTATCCAAGTAAATACACCCAGATTTGTAGAATATGTTTTTGTTGTCTGTGTGTGTTGTGTTTGTCTCTGTGGTGTGTGTTCGTAAACATTATTTTCTCTTACGGAAGACGATATAATATACAGCAAAACACAATAATATACACTACCGTTTAAAAGTTTAGAATCTGACCGATTTTTTTGTTTTGGAAAGAAGTCTCTTCTGCTCACCAAGACTGCATTTATTTGAAAATACAATAATACAGTAAAATTAGTAATATTGTGACATATTATTACAATTTAAAATAACAGTTTTCTATTCGAATATAGTTTAAACTGTGATTTATTCCTGTGATCAAAGCTGAATTTTCAGTCTTCAGTGTCACATGATCCTTCAGAAATCATTCTAATATGATGATTTGCTGCTCAAGAAACATTTCTGATTATTATTAATGTTACATAACAGTTGTGCTGCTTCATATTTTTGTGGAAACTGATACTTTTTTTCAGGATTCTTTAATGAATAGAAAGTTTATTTGAAAATAGAAATCTTTTATAACATTATCATTTTTTTGAGCAATTTCATGCATTCTCGAGGAATAAAAGTATTTAAAAAAATGTTTTTTTAAACTGACTGACCCCAATCTGTTGAACGCTAGTGCAATATATTAGGCTTTTACTAATCTGTCCAATCATGTCTGTTGTTTTCAGTGTTGTGTCCCACATAGAGTTTCCAGAGCGGAAAACCAGCCAATCTCATCGGTACATTGGACATCTGGTCATCTGCATCTCTCCAGATGCTGTTCTTCTCTAATAATGCACAGAATTTACCCCGCCAGTGGCATTTATTTCTCAGTCTGAATGTGTAGATGTTATTGTGTGTGAGCTTGAGTGCAGTATTTAGTTTATTTCATATTTCAGTCATGTTTCCTCTGTTGTAGTTGATATCTTTTCATCACAGTGCAGCTGTCGTAACTCATGCATGTTTGCATCATATTCAGATGAGTTTGTTGTATTGCAGATCTAGATCTCTTTTGATCTTTCCATTAGATGGAATGAGTTTTCAGGAAGTTTTGAGCTGCCTCTTATGATTTGAAAGCAAACTTTACAGCAAAGACAGGTGAACATGTTTGTGTAGGTCATTTATGTAGCTGTCAAATCATATCAGAATGAACTGATTGAGAGTTACTGATAACAGAATGATAATATTTTATTTCATTGCCACATACTAAATGGTCTTTGTTGTGTTTGGCCAGCTTTAGGGTTTGTGCTTCTAACATCTCTATGACAGTATTAATATTCAGATGACGAGGAGCGAACGGCACGTGTATTTGCTGCCAGTTGAAGTGAAATCTGTGATGATGTGAGATATCAACAGTGGAGGAAGGACAAGGTACGAAGAGCTAAAACACTCATAAAGAGATAAACACGTCTGTCTGTCTTCACCGAGGTCCTGTAATGATTGTCTCTGGTTTATTAGTGTTTGTTGAAACCGGACGGAGGTGATATTTTTGAATGTGTGACTGTAAAAGCTGAATGTTGTTTTTTGACGGAGAGATTGAGTTTATATGTGTTCCCACAGATGCACAACCTTGAAGGATTATTTCACTCCAAAATAAAAATCTGTCATGTCGTTCCAAACCTTTATTTCTTCTGTGGAAAGGTGAAGAATATCCCGGCATCATAGAAGAATCATGTGCCATATTCCTAATCTTCTGAAGTCATTTGGGTTTGGAACGACATTTTTTGAGTGAACTAGTCCTTTAAACTCAGGTAGCAGTTTCTGCATGTGAGGACGAAAACATCTCACGTCTCGGTCTAAATCAGTGTGTTCTGAGGGGGAACTTTCAACACTTACAGGATGTGTTCATTTGTTTCATCAGTCAGTTGTGTGCCGTTTTTATGTTAATGCAAGTAAAGCACTTGACTGTCTAGTGTCCCAGATGAACATGCATCCTCGCATTAAAAGGCTTCCATGTTGTTTTTATGCTTGTAAAGCATTCAGAACGAAAAAGTCGTTTCACGCACTTTCAATTGATCTAAAAGGGAACGGTTTTGCAGAACACGACATTTGCATAAAATATTGAACTACAGCTCGTGTGTGTCGTCAGGTTGTCGTGGCCTGATTCTGAGGAACATTAGCACAGTAAATCAGGGTACACGTACTATAATAACTAGAGATTATATATTTATACAAGCAATAATGAAACGCTGCCTTTTTGAATTCATCAAATTTTGTACCTTATTTTTAATGCAACATTAATGGTCCTTTTGAATTAGTATTTTATAATGCATTGTATGTAGCAGGGCAGTTTTCAAATAAAAGCATCTGATCTGTTCATCAAACCCGCTGTGCGTTTGTGTCTTTCAGTGCCTCTCAACAGGCCAGATTCATAAAGATGTTTTTAAGAAAATAACTGTAAAATGTAACTCTTGAAAATATGATATGTCCAGTTGTATACTTCCCTTATCATGGGGTTGCTTGTTTAATACAAAAAAATTATCTTTACACAATTAACCCATTAATTTGTCAATTAACCCTTTTTTAGGGAGCATGCCATGAACCCCAATATTTGAATGTCAAGTGTGTCAAACAACATTGTCACAGAATTGCTTGATTATAAAAAGTGAGATCTTGGAGTAGTAAAATGTATGTTAGCTTGTGTTATGGTTAATATTTGAAATGACCCACCATATTCAAGAAATCCCCATACTTCCTCATTTGATTAATCAGTACATTAAGACAATTGTTTTATATTACAAGCTTCTGAAATGTTATGTTAAAATTTGCAAATGATGGGGAAAAAAAAATGCACTCGATCATGAATCAAGCCTTAGAAAACAAACAAAAAATTGTTACTTTTTTTTTTTTTTAAATTATAAAAATGAGAAAAGTTAAATTAAATTATATATTCTTATAAAATTGACTGCTTGAGTCTCTCTGCAGAAAGCAAATAGTAACTTCAGTTTAAATGTCAGGGATGGTGACGTGATGACGCCTTCATACAAAGTTTTAAATAAAAGTTGTCTTTAATATATTTATTATCAAGTAACCTCTTAAATATTACATATGCTACAACATGGTTTTCTTAAGAAAGAAAAAAAATTCAGAAAAAGAGTTTGAAAATGTTCAAATATTCCATTCAAGCCAACTTTAAACAATCCTTGTTTGCCATCTTACAGAAATATTAGTTTCAAGTCAGTGGTTCAATATTGATGTGAACCTGTTGTTGTTGTTTTGGCCTGCTGTATAATGTCATTTCCTCCTGTCTGTGTTAGAGTTGGAGACACCATTAGTGTCGCAGGTCCATAGAGACGAGAGTCCAACTTCACCAAAACATAGTTCAGTTTATTTTCCTCTGATATGAGGTGATGTTTGGAGAAAGTGCCGATCCCGCTCTCATATGAGATGAGAGTCAGAGGTCATGAGGAAGGTCAAAGGTTAGTGTCCGTGAACATGGTGTGTTCTTTCCTGACTGTGCTGAAGCCTTTGATGCTGTCCACAAACTCCTCACCTTCAAACTGACAATCAAAATCACATATCAGCCAAAAATAAAGCATTTCCAGCAGCAGCAAGTGCAACATAAATCCTGATGTTCTCACCAGGCCACTGTCGAGGCGTCTGAAGTGCGGCTCCCACGCTTCCTCGTCTTTCTTGTCCATCAGCTGACTGACGCTGCGCTGTAGAGCGTTCTGTGCGTACAGACCTGAGACGGTCACCACACCCTCCGCAGAACCGTCTTCATCAACCATTTTACCCTCAATCACCTCCTGAACAACAGAGGAACATGTGAGAAGAGGCTTCATCACCTTCATATTATTATTATACATTTGTTACATTATTATTTTGTTACATTATTCTTTTTGAAAAATTAGCGATTCTTTTTGAAAAAGTAGCGTTTCTTTTTGAAAAATTAGCGATTCTTTTTGAAAAAGTAGCGATTCTTTTTGAAAAAAGTAGTGATTTGTTAGTCTTACACATTTATTACAATGTAATTATACGTTTATTACAATGTAATTATACATCACGGTGTAATTATACGTTTATTACAGTGTTATACATTTGTTACATTATTATTATTATACATTTGTTACTAGGGATGCCACAATTCTCAATATAATATTGAACCGTTCGGTACGACATCCACGGTGCAATACGCGCTTGTGAATTGCGGTTTTTCGGTTTTACGTTTAAATAATTTATGTGCGTTTTATTTCTCTCCGAATTGACTGTTTGTGTGTGCCTGTAAGTCTACGAGCTGAGATGAGGAAACTCCTCCCCGCGACGGCCGCGAGTAAGTTAGGGGGCGCGTGCGCGGCTTAACCATCATTCCACACTTTAACATGGCGAGCGGCGGTGAAGTCAGGCTACAGTACGAGGAAGCGCCGGCATCTTTCAAATCCGTGGTGTGGGGACATTTCAGTTTTGCCGTTGAGTATAATACCGAGGAAGAAAAAAAACGGTAAACAAAAAAAATGACTGTGTGCAAGCATTGTTTTACACGTGTAGCCTACTCAAACGGAAACCTCAAAATACAGGAATAGATAGCTAAGCTGACCTAAGTGAAATTGCACTTTACATTCTGAATGAAGGACACTGTACTGGAGTTGCCTACTGTTAAGTTTAATTAAGATGGTTTATTTATGTTTACTGAAGTGCAAGTATGTTTATTTGAAATGGTCAATTTATGTTTACCAACTTCACATGTATGTTTATTTTCAAAATTTAAGAATTTATGTGTTCCCCAGTTTGTACATGGGCTACCAGCAGCTGTGAAATGTCAGTGTTAATTTTATATTATACTATACACTAGGAACTAGTGGACTTTTCTTAGCTTTTAAGTAAAATAAAGGAGTATTGCAATAAATCGTTTTTATTTTTTTCTCCTTAACCTCTTACTGTTCCTATTGGCTAAGCATAGAATAACAAAAAAACACTCTTATGTGTCAAGCCATCAGAACCGAACCGAACCGAAAACCGTGGTTAAAAAACCAAGGTATGTATTGAACCGTGGGCTAACTGTATTGTTGCATCCCTATTTGTTACATTATTCTTATTGGAAAAATAATCGCTACTTTTTTCCAAAAGAATGTAATTATAATGTAACAAATGTATAATTACATTGTAATAAATGAATAACACTGTAATAAACGTATAATAACGCTGTAATGTATAATTACATTGTAATAAACATAATAACACTGTAATGAATGATTACATTGTAATAAATGTATAATAACACTGTAATAAATGTATAATTACATTGTAATAAGCGTATAATTACATTGTAAAAAATGTATAAGACTAACGTATATTACATTTTTTACACTACTTTTTGAAAATTGAATTGATACTTTTTAAAAAGAATCGCTACTTTTTCAAAAAGAATCGCTACTTTTTTTAAAGAATCGCTACTTTTTCAAAAAGAATATAACAAATAATAATGTAACAAATGTATTATAATAATGTAACAAATGTAATACATGTATAACACTGTAATAAACATAATAACGCTGTAATAATGTATAATCACATTGTAATAAACGTATAATAACACTGTAATGTATAATTACATTGTAATAAATGTACAACACTAATAAACATATAATAACACTGTAATAATGTATAATTACATTGTAATAAACGTATAATAACACTGTAATGTATAATTACATTGTAATAAACGTATAATAACACTAATGTATAATTACATTTTAATAAATGTATAATTACATTGTAATAAATGTATAATAACACTAATGTATAATTACATTGTAATAAATGTATAATACTGTAACAAAAGTATAATTACATTTTTAACACTACTTTCTTAAAAATAGCTACTTTTTCTAAAAGAATCGCTACTTTTTTCAAAAAGAATAATGTAACAATAACAAATGTATAATAATAATGTAACAAATGTATAATAACACTGTAATAAATGTATAATTACATTGTAATGTATAATAACACTAATAATGTATAATTACATTGTAATAAACGTATAATAACACTAATATAAATGAAAATGAGAAATGTTGCTCTGGTAAATAACTAGGTTAAATAAAATAATAATAACTAAACCTTAATAGAAAATATAAAGACATTTAAAGAAAAACTAAACATGATAAAAACAGACAACACAATTAATACAACTTTAAATAAAATTAAATAGAATACTGAAAAATAATAAACTAATTCGAAAATGTATAAAAACTATTAAAACTACTAAAATAGCACTAATTTAAAGGTCAAGTTTCTATTTTTTTACACTTTAAAAAAGGTTGAGCTAACTTAAAAAAATGAGGCAACCTTTCACACTCAACTTTTTAAGTATATTAACTAATTTGCTCCAATTAAAGTACACTTAAAAAGTTTTGTTCATCTAATGAGTAACAGGTAGTCTTTGAACTTAAAAAAGTATTTGTAAAAATGTATTACATTGAACAATGTTGTGCCATTTCCCAGCATGTATTGCAGCTTGAAAAAATGATGTGGTAACTATTATTAAAAATTATCATCGCTTTGCATTTACTGGCTTGATTTATGCTGCTGCTGTTGTTATCACTGTTAATTAACTGTCATATGGTTCATATTTTTACTGAATTACAATTGTTGATCAGCACCATGTTTGAGATTTATGTGTTGAGGTGTGTATTGCATATAGGAAACTATAGAATGTTTATTTAACAATGCAAGCAGCTACAATCCTTGTTTTTCATCTCCATGTTTGATTTTCAAAGCTATGATATTCATGATATGAATATTATTTGCCTCTTAAAACCAGAGGCAAATATTTTACCCATTTTACCTCTAGTTTTAAGAGGCAAATAATATTAATATCATGAACATCATCCAATTTTTTAGCTTAAAAGACTACCTGTTACTCACTACATGAACAAAAGTATTTAAGTTGACTTTAATTGGAGCGAATTAGTTGAGTTAACTTAACAATTTAAGTGTAAGTTGCCTCATTTCTTTGAAGTCAGCTAATTTTTTTTAGTATACAATTGTATGCAGAGACAACTTAGTCATTAATTTTTACTCCACTTGGTGCTGCTAGTGGTGCGGAAATTACTTTAAGATTGAATGTATTTTTTTTCTGTTTACTGTTCTGTACTGTATACTGTTCATCCTTCATATAAATTCAAAATTGAGAAGTTGAATCTGCAAAATATGGCTCTTTTAGTAACACGAAGTTCATGAAATGAAGCTCTGACCTCCATGTGCATCGTGTAGGCCTTCAGTGTGACGCTGTTCGGAGAGCCCACCGTTTCTGGAACCATGTCGAACTGTGTCGAAGGAACAAACATATCATTAATATTTCATAGATACATGGTAAAGAATAATTTCAGGACTTAATTCCCTCAGGAAAGATAGATTGGGCCGTTCACACAGGATGTGTATTTGCGTCTAAAAATGCGAGACACAGGCAGAAGTGTAGTCAAGACTAGTCCTTCAAAACAGTGTTACTAATAAACTGGATGTAAATTAATTTCAAAGAAAGGTGATTTAAGCAATTTTGAGCGTGGCATGGTTGTTGGTGCCAGACGGGCCGGTCTTGAGTATTTCACAATCTGCAAAAGAATGGTGTGAAAAGGGAAAAACATCCAGTGCGCGGCAGTCCTGTGGGCGAAAATGCCTTGTTGATGCTAGAGGTCAGAGGAGAATGGGCCGACTGATTCAAGCTGATAGAAGAGCAACTTTGACTGAAATAACCACTCGTTACAACCGAGGTATGCAGCAAAGCATTTGTGAAGCCACAACACGCACAACCTTGAGGCGGATGGGCTACAACAGCAGAAGACCCCACCGGGTACCACTCATCTCCACTACAAATAGGAAAAAGAGGCTACAATTTGCAAGAGCTCACCAAAATTGTACAGTTGAAGACTGGAAAAATGTTGCCTGGTCTGATAAGTCTCGATTTCTGTTGAGACATTCAGATGGTAGAGTCAGAATTTGGCATAAACAGAATGAGGCTGGTGGTGGTGGTGGTGTAATGGTGTGGGGGATGTTTTCTTGGCACACTTTAGGCCCCTTAGTGCCAATTGGGCATCGTTTAAATGCAACGGCCTACCTGAGCATTGTTTCTGACCATGTCCATCCCTTTATGGCCACCATGTACCCATCCTCTGATGGCTACTTCCAGCAGGATAATGCACCATGTCAAAAAAGATCGAATCATTTCAAAATGGTTTCTTGAACATGACAATGAGTTCACTGTACTAAAATGGCCCCCACAGTCACCAGATCTCAACCAAATAGAGCATCTTTGGGATGTGGTGGAACGGGAGCTTCATGCCCTGGATGTGCATCCCACAAATCTCCATCAACTGCAAGATGCTATCCTATCAATATGGGCCAACATTTCTAAAGAATGCTTTCAGCACCTTGTTGAATCAATGCCACGTAGAATTAAGGCAGTTATGAAGGCGAAAGGTGGTCAAACACAGTATTAGTATGGTGTTCCTAATAATCCTTTAGGTGAGTCTATATATATATATATATATATATATATATATATTAGAAATAAAAATTACATCACATAATAACCAATATAGAGATCGCACTGTCAGAGAGTTTGGGAATATTCACACATAACATATACACATAAAACACATTTTAACATTTTAAAAGAACAATAGGAGAGTGGGGCTGGTTGGGTCAAGGGTTGAGGGCGCTGCCTCAAAAATCTGACATTAAAATGACTGTCCTCTTGACATGAACATTTACTAAAATCATCTAACTGTCACTTACTGTTGAGGTGAGGGACAACTTTTTTATTTTACAGTGTCTAAATAAAAAACTGTTAAAGCCTTCTTCAACAACCTAGATACAGTCACAGGCACAGGTTTCCTCCAGGTGACATCTGGAACATGGATGAGACAGGAGTCACTACAGTCCAGAAACCGAACAGGGTCATTGCCAGGCGGGGATTTAAGCAAATTGGGTCAATAACCTCTGCAGAGCGAGGGTCGCTTATTACCCTTGCCTGCGCAGTTTCAGCCACAGGGAATAGCCTTCCTCCATATTGTCTTCTCCAGGGTAAATTTCAGGGACCACTTCATTCTGAATGGACCTACAGGTTGCAAAGGAGGTGCAAACCCATCAGGATGGATGAAGGAAGACCACTTTGTTGAATTCCTGAAGCATTTTGTGGAGAATACAAAATGCATAAAAGAGAAGCTATGTCTCCTTTTGCTTGACAACCATGAGGCCCATCTCTCTGTCAGTGGCTTGAAGTATGCCAAAGAAAACGGTGTAGTCATGCTATCATTCCCCCCACACTGCTCCCATCGGCTTGACCGCACTGTGTGTGGGCCTCTGAAGAGGCATGTCAACACAGCCTGTGACTCATGGAAGCTGAACAACCCTGGCAAACCCATGTCTATGATGTGCCTGGAATTGTTGCCACAGCATAACCATTGGCTGCAACCCCAAATAACATCCAATCAGGATTCAGGGTGACTGGACTTTTCTGCTATAACAGGGATGTTTTCTCAGAAGAGGCCTTCGCCCAATCTTATGTTACAAACTGGCCAAACCCAGTCCCAACTGCCAATCTTGTTGCTGTCCCTGATGAGCTTCACCCTTCCACTGACAATGCTGTGCAACCAGTCTACATCTGCCAGAACTGTGATTCATGCGCTTCATCTGATTGAGACACACATGTTGACATGCTAGTTAGCCTAACAGCGTACTGCATTATTTCTGTTACTCCTAATACTACACACACACAAACTCACACACACATTGGGTCTCATTCATGAAACACGAGCAGAACGAATTTTTGTGTAAATCGTGTGTAAAGTGGTTCTGGCGTAAATTTTCGGATTTATTAAAATGTTCGTATTTTCCAAATGTTAGTTGGTACACAAGAAATCTACACCTGCTCCCAGCCACGCGTAAATAGTGCGCTTACCCGAACGTTTTGCTCATTAATAAGGCTGCATTTTAATTCACCTTAATCGGGTACATATTTGCACAGCATTTTGAAAAAATATTATATATAGTAATTACATACGGTTTTTCTTATTATGAGAGCCAGTAATAGCATCTGCGATGGTGGTCCTTCTCCAGTTTGAATACTATTTTTCCGAAGTGAACTAATTCGTTTTTTGCTCTCAAGCTTAATGTCGAACCATTTTCTTCTCACTTCTGGGAATGTTCGATTAACAGATGAAACTCCATTAACTGCATCTGTAATATGCTGCCAAGCTTCCTTTTTTTTTAGGACCCGATACGCCACTATGTACGCTTGAAAATAAATGTGGCGTTTTGAATGAACTTCTGATAATAAAACTTTTTTCTAATTTTTTTTCATTCGCATTCATGTCATAATATGATGCCCATATATAATTGTCAGTCGGAGTATTTGTGAATCAGGAGAAGAGTTTTCGGGAAGGTCTCTTTACGCGTAAATCACTCGCATATATGAAGTTCCTTAACGTAAGTTAGGGAGGAGCGAGCCCATCCAATCTTTCAATCAACAAACAGAGTATATAAGCAGCCGCTTACCTCTCCCTAGTATCAGCTGTTCCAGTATCATTGCTGCTTCATGGAATAATGTCCGACATCCCGGAAATACAGCTCTTCCCGTCAGACGACGAACTGACGAGCCTTCCCAAGACTCCGACAGCCTCACCCCGTGTAAGATCGGAAATCACGGATCATCTCCACGAGCGTTCTGGCCGAGAAATCCAGCGCTCATACAAACCACGCTCCAAAAGACAACGCTCTCCTCCACCTTCAAGACCGCCAGTTTTAACTGTGCCTCGTCCGTCTTCTCAGATTTCATCTCTCCACGCAACAGCCGCTAATACACCGATTCCACCCATTTCGAAATGTTCAGTCAACAGCCTACGTCAAGTCCTTTCCAGTCCTGGAATCCATTTCTCCCGCAGATCGTCTAAAGTGCAACTTTACGATCTCTTCATCAGTTCCTTCAGTTCCAGCACCGGGCATCCTGATCCCACACAATCTCAACGCGCCGATCCAAAGGCTACCGGCAGCGGCGCGGCTCGCACTTCCTCGTCCGCCGGTATTTCCACCCGACCAAAAACAGCGGCCGCAAAAAATAGTTCCGCTTCTTCTCCAGCTCCAACAAACTTCATCCAGTCAGCCCCACTCCCCAGGCAAGAACCAAACTTTCAATCACTTTTCTCAGCACTCCCATCTGCGTCTCCAGCTTTTTCTAATCCTCTTCATAATAACCCTTGTGCCAGGCCACCTTCGCACACGGTTACATTTCTATCATCCCCAAACCAACCTACCCAAAGAGCGGATCCTAGCGTGAAGTTGCCTTCGCTAGCTATCCCCCCTCCACCCCCTCCTCTTTCCTTCCATTCCAATTCACCCCATTCCTTTCCTCCCACCTCTATCTTCCAATCATATCCTAATATTCTTCCCAGTTCACATCCGAGCGTGAGGCTGCCTCCGCAAAGGACTTCTTCTCCTTTCTTTCCCACAAACCTTCCCTTTCCTCCAACTTCAGCCCATGCCAGCCATTTTGGACACCAGCCAGTAATGGGACCCTCCGATCATCATTTATCTACTTTTCCCAACACTCACACCTACTCTCCAGGTACAATCCACTTGCCAGCCCATTCACTCTCCACAGCAGTCCATCTTCCAGCTCCTCCTAATGCAGTGGCCATGGAACCACCTCCAGTTTCAGCCCATCTCCGGTCCTTAATTCTATCAGGTGCAGATATCGATCTTCCTTCTCTACTGACTTCCGTCCCCCTCAATGAATCCCACCGCTCGTTTGATTGCGGCCCATTAACCATCAATCTTAAAAATTCTGTACAACCTTTAAAACGAGTTCTCACACTCGCAGAATTCTGCATCGCTTTTGCTAGATATACTGAAGTAATTTGCACTTCATTTCCAGCCAGACGCAAGGAATTAAACGACTACCTCTCCATTATAGCAGAGCTCAGTCTCTCTTTCGGAGGTTGTCATTTTTATACCTATCATAAGCTTTTTTCAGCTAAATGTGCCGCCCGTGTCACCCACTGGAACCAGTGTCCTTATTGGGGAGCTCTGGACCTCGAACTTTACAACAGAGTCTTCTTAGGCGTTCGGAGCCTTTCTTGCGCCATCTGCAGGTCCATTATTCATTCTACTTCAGAATGTCCCCAAACCAACCCAGATCATCCAACCCATCCAGCCCCTTTCCAAGAAAAATCCACCGCCTACGTCCCTTAACCAAGGAACGACCGCAGTCAGATATTCACCTCAGTTTCAGGTAGACAAGTATGCAACAGCTTCAATTCCTCAGGTTGCA